TTAATCGACTCGAATTATTATTTTTTATTGTTTGTTTCTTCTAATTCTTTTTCTTTCTTTGTTCTTATTATTTTTCCCTTGTTCCTTTCTTCTTCATTTTTCTTCTCCTTTTTTCTTTATTTTGTTCTTATTCTTTTTCCCTTGTTCCTTTCTTCATCATTTTTTCTTTTCTTTTTTTTTTTCTTGATTTCCTCTCTCTTCTTCCTTTCTTTTGTTTCTTATTCTTTTCATTTTCATTTTTTTCTTCTATTTCTTCCACCTTTTCTTTCTTCTTTCATCTTAGTTCATGTGTTCTTGTGTTTCTATTTCACACGCCCTTTTTTTTCATAAGTTCAAGCCCTCCGAAAGACGCCGACATTTCCCCGATTCGGCCCCGTGCAAGCAAAGCGTTTTTTCGTGCAAGTCCCCCGATTCGGCCCCGTGCAAGCAAAGCGTCCCCCGATTCGGCCCCGTGCAAGCAAAGTCCCCCGATTCGCCCCGTGCAAGCAAAGTCCCCCGATTCGGCCCCGTGGAAGCAAAATTTGCGCCGATTCGGCCCCGTGCAAGCAAAGCCGATTCCCCCGATTCGGCCCCGTGCAAGCAAAGCCTCCCCCGATTCGGCCCGTGCAAGCAAAGCGTCCCCCGATTCGCCCCGTCCCCCCGATTCGGCCCCGTGCAAGCAAAGCCTCCCCCGATTCGGCCCGTGCAAGCAAAGCGCCCGATTCGCCCCGTGCAAGCAAAGTCCCCCGATTCCCCCAAGCAATTCGGCCCCGTTCCGGCCCCGTGCAAGCAAAGCGTCCCCCGATTCGGCCCCGTGCAAGCAAAAATCGGCCCCGTGCAAGCAAAGCCTCCCCGATTCGGCCCCGTTCCCCCGATTCGGCCCCGTGCAAGCAAAGCCTCCCCCGATTCGGCCCCGTGCAAGCGAAAGCCTTCCCCCGATTCGGCCCCGTGCAAGCAAAGCGTCCCCCGATTCGGCCCCGTGCAAGCAAAGCGTCCCCCGATTCCCCCGATTTCCCCCGATTCGGCCCCGTGCAAGCAAAGCCTCCCCCGATTCGGCCCCGTGCAAGCAAAGCGTCCCCCGATTCGGCCCCGTGCAAGCAAAGCCTCCCCCGATTCGGCCCCGTGCAAGCAAACGTCCCCGATTCGTGCAAGCAAAATCCCCCGATTCGGCCCCGTGCAAGCAAAGCCTCCCCCGATTCGGCCCCGTGCAAGCAAAGCGTCCCCCGATTCGGCCCCGTGCAAGCAAAGGTCCCCCGATTCGGCCCGTGCAAGCAAAGCGTCCCCCGATTCGGCCCGTGCAAGCAAAGCCTCCCCGATTCGGCCCCGTGCAAGCAAAGCGTCCCCGATTCGGCCCCGTGCAAGCAAAGCCTCCCCGATTCGGCCCCGTGCAAGCAAGCGTCCCCCGATTCGGCCCCGTGCAAGCAAAGCCTCCCCCGATTCGGCCCCGTGCAAGCAAAGCGTCCCCCGATTTTCGGCCCCGTGCAAGCAAAGCCTCCCCCGATTCCCCGATTCGGCCCCGTGCAAGCAAAAGCCTCCCCGATTCGCCCCGTGCAGCAAAATTCGGCCCCGTGCAAGCAAAGCCTCCCCCGATTCGGCCCCGTGCAAGCAAAGCGTCCCCCGATTCGGCCCCGTGCAAGCAAAGTCCCCCGATTCGGCCCCGTGCAAGCAAAGCGTCCCCCGATTCGGCCCCGTGCAAGCAAAGCCTCCCCCGATTCGGCCCCGTGCAAGCAAAGCCTCCCCCGAAGGCAAGATGGCGTTATCTTGCGGGAACATCTCTCTTTATGGATTGCTGTTGCGTGTTCCTCTTGGCTACGCATCCCGGCGCTCTTCCCACCGTCCGAGTTGCTGCTGCGCCAGATGGGAGAGAAGAAGAAGTAGTAATAGAAGTATTTATTATTGTACTTTTAAAAAACCAGCTGTACCGTTACTCCTGCGATCGGGCTCCGTGCTGCGGGAAGTCCGTCGCCGCTCGGGTCTTTCCCCCAAGGCGCTGTGGGGCTGATAAGGAGGCTGTCTCGGCGTCGCGGGGTTTGGATCGGGGCCAAAGGAGGCTCAGGTGTAATCCAGGCTGGGCAGGTATGTTCCATGAGGGGGCGGAGTCAGTGCTTTGTAGGACTGAGAGAGGTAATTTCCATAGCGAAGGGGCGTGGGAGAGGGAAGGGGGAGAAAGAGAGACAGAAAGATAGACAGACAGACAGAGATAATGCACGAGGAAGCGATAAAAACAAAAGAGAAACGAAGAACGCAAATTAATCACATCAAAGAAAACAATAAAAACCTAAGAGAGAGAGAGAGAGAGAGTATCGCTTAGGTATGCTGCGTGTCTGTTTGTCAGATGAAAAGGTGTCGGATTGCGTCATACGCCACGGGTATTGTCTGAACCTCATAGAAGACCTCCGTGTTGATCCTTACACAGATATTTCTCTCCAATTAGATCTTTTCCTCTCGTTACTGGAATGGTAAATGAATCTTTGAAGAACAGAATCCCGTTGAAATACGATTCACACAAAGTTAATTAAAA